CCCCCCTTTGTCACTGAAATAAGTATCTCATGGGGAATATTTTCCCTCTGTTTCTGTACTATGGCCAACTTAAAATATTTGATTTTGCCATCACTTTCAGTCCTGGTGCAAGGTCACCAGGAAAAATAGAGAGGTTAGATGTCCACAGTAATGACAAAGACAGCAATAGAAGACTGACAGGGCTTCTTACCCACCCCTGCTCTATCCCAAACTAAACAAAGTGTTGGCTTTTAATATGCCCTGATAATAATTTACATGTTTACCTGTTAGGTGGTCAGACTCCATATCACACTCTACATAGAAGTGGTTTTCTCCCTGATCCACACCATCCGGGTCTATCATATAGATTCCAGACTCCTGCACACCAACATTCTTCAAAGCTGCACAAGATTCATACACTACACAGAAAAAAGAAATAGGAATGTTAAATATGAAATAAAATATGTGGATAATTTCACATAGTATATTTTTTAAGTGTCGACTCAAGAGATGAAAGTTATTCAGGAAAAAACCCTTCCAGTGTTTCTTACTGGAAGCTCCACATAGCCCTAGACAAAATATTTTGGGGCAGAATGCAGTCAGACAGGTTAGAAAACCTTGTCCTGAATTCTAGTCCTGTGTGATAGTGTGTCCCTCAAGATAAGTTTCGTCCCTGCCTAATGCATATGCCTAAACCTGGATTCATATTTTCTGTTTATGGCTGAAACCAGGCCCAAAGACAATTCCAGGTGGTCAAACATGTCTGCACATGCAGATGAACTTGTTTTTCTATAGGCAGCTTTAACAGGCCTACAAATCTAAAATTGTGGAATTGTGTCATTATAAATAAGACACATTGGTATTGCAAAAAAAGTGGAGCCCAAGATGTAGAAAAAATATGCTTTTGGTGTATGTGAAGACATATTGCAGAGAAAAGTTTGGTTCAGTTCCAAAGTACCCATACAGATGTCTTTTTCCGTGCACAGCATAAAAGTTCAGAATGCAACTTCCTGTTTTTAGTCCTGAATGATTATCTCCCCAGTCATGACTTTAGCTCCAAAGAGCAAGCTCCACCTCAATACAGAGTTAGTTTACTCTCCAGTTTTCACATTCCTTCCAGAAACAATTTTCACAATTTTTCTGCAGCACCCAAATCCCACCACACACATTGCATATTTAGCAGTAACCCCACCTTCTCACAAATATTGCTCGCTAAGCGTTGTTTACAAACTTATACATTGATTGGCGCAGCTGCCATTTTTGTTTAGCTTCATGGATTTAGTGTGGAGACACCCTGCATGTCTTCGGGTGCCATTGTGCTGTGCTGGGTTTCTGGTGTTTCCCTGTGCCTTTAAGGAGGAATGGGCTGCCTCCAAGTATACCTGTCCTTAATTTAATTATTGCTTCACTGTATATGCTCCAACATGGAGGCTCTCATATACTAGAGTTAGGAACCACACTTCACAGAGAAGCCTTGACGAGGCAGTGTGGCATTCACATATATTTGCAAATATGTGTAACTAAAACCTCTGATTTAACACAAACAGGAGATGATACACTTTTTATTTAAAGGACACCTCTATGAACACTATGTTCTTAAGAGATGTACAGTTTTAAAAGCCCATAGAAAGCATAGAGCCACCCAAATAAGATTTGTTTTCTACCAATTTAAATCCTACACTTTTCATTGAGTTTTAAGGGCATGTTATAAGGATATTCTGATCTCTTGAAAACTCCCATTAGATGAGTATTTAAAATTGTCTTGACATCGTTAGCGCTACCCCATGTCAAATATGTAAAAGAATATGTGCTCCTGATACCATTTTTTTCTATAACAATTTTCTCATCAAATGTAACATTTAGGGGGTGATTTACTAACCTAAACACACGCACGCACCAGGTGCGTGTGCATTTTTACACAGCAAAACGTATTTATCAACCAAACACGAGCAATGTGTCACATTTTCACGCCGTTATGGCGCGTTTTTATGTATTTACGTACGTGCGCGTCATGTAGCATGCGCCATAGGCTACACGCCGCTCTAATAGCGGCATGCAAGTCTCTAAAAGCATATTTCCACTAATGCCATATATGGAAAAATCAGGCACATGATGCATTAATAATGCTGCTTCACAGTTTAGACAAAAATGGTTAGCTCATGCATTTACATTCCTGCATTCATCAACGCAAGCAACACAACGTAGAGCTAATTTACACAACATCACCTTGCAATTCATGCAGGGCTTTGCACAACACACCTGCTGGGTGTGTACACACTACAAAGGTGTCTAGATTCCACTAATAGATCATGCTGGGAGGGAACACACTACAGAGGTGTATACTTGTTCGTGGCGTGTTTATAAGGTTAGTAAATCAACCCCTTAGTCTATATACATACATACACAAAATTAAACACAATATTTTACATGAAACATTTCACATGTGCAAAACTAAATCAATTACCAACATGCATGTACTCCTAAAATGACCCTATTTATAAAACAGACACATATGTGGTAGTTACAAATACACACAGTTGACAAAGTACAATATCTAACATATAGGTGTAAGTGAACAGAGCATGCATAGTAACTTATCCATTGTCCTCAGCATTTAATAACAATTTTACCTTGGCAAATAACACCTGCTCTTTCATTTGTGTCACATGCACCAGCATTTTTCACATTGCAGTTTTCCAAGACAGCCTCACTTCCGCTGCAGTTAACTGAGGAAATTGCCCATAAAACTTTGTCCTCTCCATTATTCCTGACAAATCAAAAACAAGTCAGGATGGCTTAGGAACAAAGTATGCATACACACACAAACACAAGCTTTCAGTTCTGGCAAAAGCCTGTGCAAAAAAGTTATTATAAATTCTGTGCAAACAAATCCTTGTCAAAATGATTGCCCATTTTCCTCTCTATGGTATCCCTTTCAACATAAACTCCCCTTCAAATTTTATTCTGCCATAAACATTGCTAGTACTGTATTTTATCAACTTTATTGAGGAGAAATTGCTGGCTGAGATTTCTTTAGAAACCGACACTTCCGGCAGTGTCGATCTCCTGGTACCACGCAGCGCTCAGTGGATCTTACCGCTAAACCCCACATCACTACTGTGTCCCCTAGTGACTTAGAGTGGAACAGGAGAAATCATAAAAAAAAATTTACTTTCTTTTTTTACAGGGACATCTTTTTTTTAGTACTTTCAGTTTAGCCACAGAATCAATTTAAAACATTTTTCTCAATCGCCATTATGCAGTGTGCTGAAGAAAATTGGCCATTTGAATTTAACAATTGCTCGGGACAGACAAATAAAATGATTTGATTTTCTGCACAATGTTTCGCTAACTTGATCAAAAAAAAAAGTGTGATTTTAGATAAAAATTATACATTTTGTTTTATAATGTGTCTTATTCATAATGACACAATAGTATGCTACAAAACAAACAAATTAGGTAAAAACTAAATTTAAGATAAAAAAAGAGAAAAATAGACCAGTTGTTTTATATACCTTATAAAAACTAGTAGGCCCCAGTAATTCTCACAACATAACTCTTTTTACATGGCAAATCACGGTAAGGCAATAATTCCATGGGTTCAACTGAACAGAGTATAGTACAAAAAATAAATTAAATCCAAGATAAATAAGTGCCCATAATAATCCTCTATGCCAGCCATCACTAAATGGTGGACCTCGGTCTGAACATGGATCGGGTGGCGGTTCTGTCCGGACCGCAATCGCCGACCTGCACTGGGTTATGGTTGGCTGACAGTGGATACACCGACCTATAAGGCCAGTGTTTCCACTGCCAGCCATAACCCAGCACAGGCCCTCCCTCTGCTTTAGTCATTGGTTGCTAGGACTGTTGGCCTCCTAGTAATCAATGCTGTCAGGCAGGGGCGGCTGCTACAACTACAAGCGATGTTGGCGGCTGGACAGCCACCCAGATCACTTGTACTAGTAATCAGTTGTTGTGGTGCTCCCTTCTGCACCCCCCCCCCCAATCGGAACCACAGCACACAGTATCAGGATGGAGAGCGGGAGCAGACCAGGGAACATCCACTTCAATGCTGTGAGCGCTTCATGCTTCAGTTGTCAGAAGCCAGCTGAAGTGTCCGGTATACAGATCATCAAGCACATTCTGTACTGGAGGGCAGGAAAGACATTGGAGGTCTAATGGACCCCTGATGTCTCCTAAAGAAAACCTGTAACCTCTAAATTATGTCACATAGGGGCTTGTTAATTTAAAAAATGTAAAGAATAATAAAATAAAAAAGATTAAAACCAAGCTTGCCACCCCCATTGTCTGATTCTAATAAACATGTGCGCATAAGGGAATTCTAACACAAAAAATACATAAATATTGTGATGCACCGGGATCACTGCATTAGCACTCTGCCTGGGAACACACACCAGCAGCTGTACGTTGCAGTGTAGCTGTTGCAGTGAATGCAGCCTAAATGGTGGCCTGTGGTATGGACACGGACTGAGTGACCCTTCTCGTTCTGTCCGGACCGCGATTCTGACCTTGGCTCGATTAAAATTTTGTTTACAGGACCTCCTTAAATTTTAATTCACTACCTCTGCTGTACAGACCATTGATGCTCTCTATTTACTAGCTGACAACTGTGGTGCCATTTTCAGTTGATTCAAGTAAGAAATTTCCAGAAATGTATACCCTGATCAAGCAGGCATAGGTTATCTAAAGCTGGGTTTGATTAACATGAATGTTTCCTAATCCAAACAAAACAAAAGTGATATTGTTTAATAAACAAAAATACCTGGTAGCTATTGCAGGGCCTTGTAAGCCAAGCTGGCGACACACAACTTTGGCATCCTTGTTACTCCATTGCTTAGGACATATGCTTCCTCGAAATCCTTGGTAGTCTACTTCAACTATTCCTTCCAAACTGTTTTTTCCCTGAAGCAGGCGAATACCTTATAAAAACCATTAACTGTTTAAAATGTCTTATGATGTCAAAACATTGAGAAAGGTTGATGATGAATTTTGAAAATAGAACAACAGATTTAAAAAGGACTATACTCAGTCTTTCCCTTTATAACACAAATGTATTAACAGAATTACTTGAAAAGTTTTTTTTTTAACTCATAGGGGTTGATTTACTAAAAGCAAATAGGCTGTTTACTTTGCAAGGGAATTTGTAGTTTGCAGGGGACTTTTCCCTTAGTTTAGTGAATGCAGTGGAATTTCACATTGTAAAGCATATCCAATCACAAGCAAAGAAAATAAAAAAACCTGTATTTTTGCCTGCACATGATTGGATAATGGAAGTCAGCAGAACTTCACCTCATTCACTAAACTAAGCAGAAACTTCCCCTGCAAATTGCAAATTCCCTTGCAACATTAAGCCTAATTTCTTTTAGTAAATCAACACCATACTGTATATCTTGAATATTTTATCAGCGGTCATATTATAAAATCTGTGCATAGGTGCTGCCATTTATCTACCCAGGAAACAAAGCAGGTGGGAGAAGCTTCTGACTATGGGATCTCCATTACACAATTAGTGATTAGTGCTGGATATGATTGTAATAAGTATCCAGCATTACCTATTTCCATTACTTCAATTAAGACTGCTGAGAAAAGCCCAGCTCCAGAGACCAGTGTCTATATACAGAAATCCTGATGTATGGCAGCAAATGTGACAAGTTGAGCAGGGAATTAATTACCTTCAACTTGGTCAAAAGGCCAGATCTGCATAAAACTTGATGGGGAGTTTATTCAGCACACATGCCTCATATTTATTGGGTTTAGTCCAGGAACTTTAAATGTACTGTATGTGAAGGGTGGGTTATCAACATACAACCAACCCGCAGTTGAAGGACACAATCCTCTTTAGCATTTAGGTTAAATTCAATATGCAATATAGAAAATAGCAAATTACAGTAAACAATACCAGATCATCTTTAATTGTTCTGACTAACCGAAACTGATAACCTTTATATTTGATGACTTGTTGTGGGCAACGCCTATTGACAATTTCCCCTTTAAATAAGATTAAAACTTCCTGTCCAGGTGATACAACAAGTGTGCCGTCCGGATTTGTTAGGGTTGCTGCCACAATTTTGCAGTGTCATGCTTATCCATGGTGCATATGGGCCGGCCTTCACATCAGGGTGGCTTCTGATGTGGTGGGGGGACTCTGACTTGAAAGGGGCACCTGATGTAAAGAAGGGGGCTTCTAATGTGGAGTCCCCCCCTTAAAATCCATAACAGACCCCTATATAGGATAAAGCTCTGGTATGGATTTTAAGGGGGAACAACCATGCTTTTTTTATAATTTAAATTTTTTACATTTTAGTCTAGGGTTCCTCAACATTTTGCATACTTTTAAAAGGTGCCATGAATTAAAAAGTTGAGAAATGCTGCCTTAGACAGTTGTCAATGCAATAGGTTTCCCTTTGGGGAGATTTTCCCTCTATTGCTGTTCCTGTGACGGTTATATAATGTTGGATTTCTCATCACTTTCTATCCTAATTACAATGGGTATTTGGATAAACGAGGTGATACATCCCTTAGGAAGGCCACAGACAGTAATAAAACCAATTCTTTTTCAAGTGTACAGTATGTAAAGCCTTTCAATTTTAGTGGGTCGAATAGAAAGGGATTTATTATTTTGCTGTGTGTGTTTACGGAGATGCAACAGGATGTAAAAGGAAAAAGTGAGGGAAAATCCCTCCTTGACAGTTTTCACTGGAAAGCGGTCCCCGCTGGAAGGTTTACCCTCACCTTTTGTTCCGATGACAACTCAACAAATAAGGATTTCCCTTCGCTTTGGTAACTAGGATCTATTGAGAGGATGTATTTTCCCACCAGGGACACAGACAGCAGTAAAAACTTGAGAAAAGGTCTAACCCTTCCCTGATCTATCTAAAACTCTGCTCTGTGCCCATTCCCTTATAGAAGACTAGAAATAAAAGTTTAGCTGGAGAAATATTATAAAGCATCACAAATGTGCAGCTTATTTAAAATGTACGTTTACAATTAGGAGAAGAGTTACTATAATACATTTTGCTTTCCACATTAGGGTTTATTTGGACGACTACTTCAACATTACCAGAGGTGGACTGGATGGTGCTGAATCGTAATGAAAACCCGTCCAACTGTACTGAAGAATCAGATCTCATTATCACTGTCACCACATTGGAGGTTGATCGCACTTGAGGGGGATGTTTGGAGCCACAAAACCTGGTCACATGAGATAAAATATTGACTATTATGGAAAATATAGTGCAGAAATCAAAAGTAGAACATCCAGTGCTTGTTCTTGGCCTGCGTTCTTGCAGTCAGTAGAAGTCTATGGGGCTGTGTGACCCAACATTTGCATGCCATGTTCTGGCCAGTCTGAAATTATTCAAACCTCAAACAGAGGTGTAAAATCTGTGTCACTCACTGCACACTATTATGCCCAATGGTTCGAAGTGCTTGGAAGGCATCATAAACAGTTTGCAATCTCCCCTTTTGAATTGATTTTTTTGCCTTGGCTTTAAGTCACATGATGAAGCTCATGTGTAGTGTTGTTTTATTCATGGCAAGAAAGAGGTACATTTTTACTCAGAATAAAAGTGTGATTTCTAAGTTTATACCTTCCTAAAATGCTCCAATGCACAAGGAACCTTATTATTGTGGATGTGCCCAGGCATGCAGGCGTATATTTAAATTCTTACTAATAAGATAGGATCCCCGGTCACTCTACACCCTAATGCTGGCCATACAGGGCTTGAATTTTGACTGATTCAT